ATCTTCACAGAGGCAGAAGAGGATGTTGTATTCCCCTCTAGCTGTAGTTATATGCAGGTAGGAGCTGCCTGCTTTGGGTTCTGGGAACCAAACTGCAGTCCTCTGTAAGAGCAGCAAGTGTTCTTACTGCAGAACCATCTCTCAGGACCTCTTTGTCTTCTTACAATACAGCATCCTACAAGTTAAGCAGTATTAGATCTAGAAGGAAGTATGGGAATTACTGTTTCCCTCTACAAGTGAGACTAATGATGCCCTACTGTGAGAAAACTGGAGCCCAAACTTCATAATGAGCACTTCATTGTTCTTTCCCTAGTGCCAAACAGGTACTTGGTGACTATTATAGTCCATTAAAGCAAACCTCATTGGAGACTCTAGCAAAGAAGGTCTTCTAGGTGAAGGGAGAACAACCCATATAATTTCACTGGCTTTTGCTTCGGAGATAAAATATTGGAACTTATATTTGAATCTGTTCTTAATTTATTTTTGAAAAATCTTGCTTCTGATATGTCTTAGTATATGACCAAACAGTCAATTTGTATATGCATACATATCATTAACAAATGATTATGTGTGTGTGTGTGTGTGTGTGTGTGTGTGTGTGTGTGTGTGTTGTGGTTGTGTTTTTGGGGTGGAAATATACTTAAACATGCTAAGAATCCGTAAATTGTGGTGAAATGTGTTCAGAAACCTCGGGTGAAGAGTTGGAAAGGGGTGAAGAGGAGACAGCAGTTTTGTTTGCTGTGGTGCGGTTGCTGCAGCAGGGAGCTGATCTGGGAGCTTCAGTGATCTGGGAAACCCACAAAATGAATGCCATGAAGTATGATGATGTGCATATTTACTTCACTTGTGAAAAGTGGACTTTGATGGATACTTCTCAGAAGAATCTCTACAAAAATGAGATGCTAGAGACCTACAAGAACCTCAATGATATAGGATATACTTGGGAAGACTTGTTACACCATCTCTTTGACTTTTCTTTAAAAAAAGATTGATTTTTTTATGTATATGCATCTTTCTCTCTCTCTCTTTCTCTCTCTCTCTTTCTCTCTCTCCCTCTCTCCCTCTCTCTCTCTCTCTCTCTCTCTCTCTCTC